AAAATCTTCTCCTCACAAGAAGTGGAAGGGTGAAAATTGGAGATTTCAGCGCATGTCATGCCTTTGAGGTAATGCTACATATTAATAAAAGGAAAATGAAGAATTGGCATGAAAAAGATCAGTTCCATATTTTAGTGTGACTGATTTTGTTCAGAAACTATTATCTTTGTACCTCTAGTGAGAGTTTGCTCCCTCATAAAAATGGTTACTTGTGTGCATGAGACAAAGGATTTTGTGCTCATGTTGATATTTAATTTCAAATTTTGTAGGATGACAATGATGAGCTCTGGAGGTACTGTGGAACCCCTGCCTTCATGGCACCTGAATGCTGCCTGAGTAAGTGTATTAATCCAACTATCAAAGAATTTCTGCTTTCAAATTCCATATACATGCTTGTGACATTGTTGAAAGCACTGTATCAAATACCTGGCTACTTTTTTTTTTTGAAAAGCAAAAGAATTTATTAAATGTGGAATACTGGGGGTATTCCAACCCATAGCTTACATACATCAGCAGGTGAAAACGATTTTCTTAATCATCGGCTACTACAGAAAAAATGTAACAAATTAAAGTCCCTGGGAAAATGGTCCAGTTCAAACTCTTTCTTTCATGTTGACATTGCTCTTTAAACATTTGGTTGGGTTTTCGCACCAATCTTGTAAAGAGAATCCATCCATTCCTGCAATATTTTTTGCCCAGTAAAAAGATCGAGTTTGAACTAGTTGAAAAAAGCAGTCTACATTTGCTTCCTTTGCATTAAAAATCCTGTCATTCCTTCCCAGCCATATTGTCCAGACCACTGCAAACCAGATGATATTCCACCCTCTATCAAGTATTTTTGGGCCCCCATTCCATTTGTGTTGATCCAGAATCATCATACATGAGTTACCCAACACATATTGCTTTCCCCACCATTTGTAGCATTTCATCCATAAATCAAAAGCCAAGTTGCAATTAACAAACAAGTGGTCGGGTGTTTCCAATAATGTATTACACCAACAGCATCCTAGCTTTGTAATGTCCTTTAAGATTCCACGATTTGCTAAATTATCCTTTGTAGGGAGTTTCTTATGAAGTAATTGCCAGCAAAAAGCACTTACTTTAGGTGGGATGGAGGCCTTCCACATCCTTTTGAACTCTCCAGCAGGTCTATTGTCGCCCTTTAAAAGTTGAGCATATGCTGACTTAGTTGTGTATTTCCCTGAGGTTTCCAATTGCCAGCACCATTGGTCTTCTTTGTTTTGTGTTGGGTGAGCTGTCCTGATTGTCTCAAGAAGTTTTGTTTCCATTTCTTCCTCCCACGGACGCAATTGACGTTTCCATGATAGTTTCCATTGCCAGCTCCCATTGATCCATGTTCCCATGTCTTTCGCATTGGAATTTTCACCTGTGGATAACATAAACAAGCGTGGATATTTGATAGAAAGAGCACTCCCTCCTACCCATTCATCCGACCAAAATTTCACCATTTTACCATCCCCTAATTCCACCTTAAAACCTAAGCTCAACCAATTATTCTTAATGCCCTCCCCTTTGTCTATTTTGCACACATCCCTCCACCATCTTAAGCTTTTTGAATTGCCCTCCCTTAAGTAGGATAACCAATTCCCTTCTTTATACCCATATTTTTCAAATAAGACTCTTCTCCACAAACCGCCTTTCTCCATGAGCAGTCTTCCCCACCATTTTCCTA